CTTTATAGCCCTGGGTAGAGTGCCATGGGGTCATAGCTCAGAGCAACCTCAAACTCTTGGGCTCAAGCGATTCTCTTGCCTCAGCCTCCCAAACAGCTGGGACTACAGGTACCTGTCACAACGCTTGGCTCTTTTTAGAAAAGGGGTCTCACTCTGGCTCAGGCTGGTTTTGAACTCGTAAGCTCAGGCAGTCCACCGGCCTTGGCCTCCCAGAGTGCTGGGATTTATAGGCATGAGCCACCTTGCCCAGCATTAAATCTTACATTTCTTAGTGATCCTGAGAATGCAGCAGACAGCTGCAAAAGAATTCCTCCTCCAAAGATAAGAAAAAAACTTTACATTGAGCAAAAATAACCTTGAAAGAGACTATATAATAAATAACAGCACCCCGGTTTCTTGAGAAATGTAGTCATCAACTCTTTGTGATTTTTTTTCCTGCTAGCTAAAAAACTTTCCCATGATCTAATATCTATAACTGTAACTTTGTAACCTGAGAGCAGAAAAAAGTATGAAAGGATTTGGAAAGAACTATTCCCCAGAACTCAGTATTTTATGCCTTGAGGCACCTGCCTTCTCCCCAGCAATTAAAAGTTCCTTCCTCTATATTTTTTGATGTAAGTGTCTATTAGTTTCAGTTTGCTGTTTCCTGCAACATCATCACCTTGGGGATTAGGATTTAAACATATAAATGTGGGAGGGGCGCAAACATGAAGACAACAGCATTCAGGAAAGGGAGATAGAATTGCCAGGAATGTCCTTGAGGTCTAAGGGTTTGGAAGTGGGTATGCAGGGCAGCCTTGGCCTAGACAGATCAACTATTGGCAGGAGACAGAGAACATAGTTAGACGCAGGTAGATGGTTGGATTCAGACACTCTCGTTTAACTTGCCCTGTAAGAACAAGGCTGGGGGCTGGGAGAAGTGGTTCACACCTGTAATCCCAGCTCACTGGGAGACCAAGGTGGTAGCTCGCTTCAGCTCAGGAGTTTTGAGACCAGCCTGAGCAAAATTGAGACCCTACCTCTACTAAAAATCAAAAAATTGGTGGGGTGTTGTGGTTGGCACCTATAGTCCCAGTTACTTGGGGGTCTGAAGCAAGAGGATTGCTTCAGCCCAAAAGTTTGAGGTTACTGTGAGCTATGATGTTCACAGCACTCTACCAAGGGCCACAGAGTGAGACTGTCTCAAAAAAAAAAAAAATAGCAAGACTGGGGTAGAATACATTGAGGTGTTTGAAAATCAATAAAATTATATGAGGCTTAGCGCCTATAGCACACTGGTTATGGCGCCAGCCACATACACTGAGGGTGGCAGATTTGAACCCGGCCCAGGCCAGCTAAACAACAATGACAACTGCAACAAAAAATAGCCAGGAGTTATGGCGGGTGCCAGTAGTCCCAGTTACTTGGGAGGCTAAAGCCAGAGAATCATTTGAACCCAAGAGTCTGAGGTTGCTGTGGGCTGTGACTCCATAGCACCCTACCGAGGACGACATAGTGAGACTCTGTCTCAAAAAATAAAAATAATAAAAAATAAATAAAAAATAGCTGGGTGTTGTGGAGGGTGCCTGTAGTCCCAGCTACTTGGGAGGCCGAGGCAAGAGAATCACCTAAGCCCAAGAGCTGGAGGTTGCTGTGAGCTGTGAAGCCACACAGCACTCTACCAAGGGTGACAAAGTGAGACTTTGTCTCAAAAAAAAAAAAAAAGAAAGAAAAGGAAGATAATATGTTTAGGATGAGGGATATATTAATTATATTTTTTATTTTCTATATTTCCTGATGCTTTACATCTTGGGACCTTGAAGAGTCTTTCCCTTCTAGGACCAGCTAATTCCTAAAGATAGTAGCCTGCAAACATGCCTGTTACATGCAAACCAACTGATCCAAAGCCTGCACCCCCAATGATCTTAATCAAACTCACACATACTATCCACCTGCTCTAATCACTCCTGGGCCAGGCACAGGCACAAGATAGCCTGGGACAGACTTTGTGCCCCAGAGCCCACTTAAACCATTCAACTTGCTGATGTTATGTCTATACCTGGTGCTTCCAGTGAAAATCAGAATAAAGGCTCTCTCACCCTTATCTCTCCCTTATTCCCTGCAACCCCCCATCCACCTTGGCACTCCCCCGAGTGCCTGGTTTTGGGGTTCTGGATATTTTGAGTATAAAAATGTCTTCCTTCCAGATAGTCATTTCCATGTCTGTGTGTCCTCATAGACCTGATCAAAACAAATCCTGGTTATGTGTAAAACAACAGGGCAGGTGAGGAACTGACACACAGAAGGCACTTAGCAAACGTGCAAGGAAGAGAAGGAAGGACCCTTTGGTGGGAGGAGCTGCAGGACACAAAGGTGGCCTTCTGGCTTGGAGGACTCCAGAGCAAATAGTCTTGAGGGAGTTTCAGGACAAGCCAAGGAGGAGAGAAGCTGCTAGAGACATGCTCATGGAGCTGCTGTGCACAACTGTGTTTTTTGTGTATAGTGTAAAGGGGTCTCCAATCTAGACTAAGACATGAGCCCACGAAGCTGTGCTGCTTTCTAATCTGCCCTAAGCAGCACTGTTACTAACTGGACCATACAGAGGGGTTGCCTTTTTTGTTTTTTAATTTTTTTTTTTTTGAGACAGAGTCTTACTTTGTCACTTTTGGTAGAGTGCTGTGGCGTCACAGCTTACAGCAACTTCAAACTCTTAGGCTTAAGCAATTCTTTTGCCTCAGCCTCCCAAGTAGCTGGGACTACAGACGCCCACCACAACACCCAGCCATGTTTTTGTTGCAATTTGGCCAGCAGCCTCCCGAGTAGCTGGGGCTACAGGCACCCACTACAACACCCAGACATTTTTTTTGCTGCAGTTTGGCTAAGGCTGGGTTCGAACCCACCACCCTTCATATGTGGGGCCAGTGCCCTACCCATTGAGCCACAGGCACCGCCCGGGGGCTGCCTTTTTCTAATGTGCACAAAGGTGCTGTGAAAGCTGGTGGTGACCACCGTGGCACCCTCTGGAGCCACACACCATGCAGTTTTTGGGATACCCAAACTCTCTGACCTTTTACTATACCTTTGATCCTTGGGAA